AAACTGTGGTCAATGACATGAGACAAAGTATATGTGAACTGCTGTATGGAAAGTGAATTTGCTCTGTAAATCTTCACCCATATCACAATAAAAAAAAAAAAAAAGTACACGTATTTTCTTCAATATTAGAAGTATTATGAAAATTATGCACATAAAAGAAATAATTCATTCTAATCAATAAATTGGGAGCTCTGGTGGCATAGTGCCTAAGGCATCTGACTGCTAATCAGAAGGCTGGCGGTTTAAATTCACCAGCCACTCCTCAGAAGGAAGATTGGGCAATTTACTTCCATAGTGATACCGCCTCAGAAACCCAAGGAGAGGTCGCTGTGAGACAGCAATGAGTATCAATAAATTATTCCTTCAGCTCAAAGAGAAATGCTGTGTTTCATTATAAAATGACCTAACCAAAGTAACTCTGTTCCTTGCATTCATAATCACAAAATAAAAGTCTAGGTAGTATAGGATTAAAATAAAGTATTGAAAATCCAATTTGAAGACAAATATGATCAGCAAACAAAAATACACACACACGCATACATATACATACCACACATATATATATTTATCTTACCAGTTTAAGAAAATCTATCAATTTGTGAGCATCTTCACCAGTAGAGAGGTCAACAAAATCCTTGGGCAGTCGGTAACTCAGGTAAGGACTGGGTTGTACTGTAACTTCACTGTTTGTGCACCGAAAAGCTGGAGAATCCTTTAAAGGAACAAAAAAGAAGTAATTACTGTGAGTAAATTTTTTTTGGTCTATCTTCTAACTGAAAAAAGATCCTAGTGAAACAATTTGAAGACTTTAGGCCAAGACTAGAACTTTCTAATACCTAAATGCTACCAGGGTACAGCTACTGTGTGTCACAAATGGACTGCAGATCATTTTAGCCCTAGGGAGGCCAGAGGCCTAAGGCCAGTCATCTTGGCCTCAAGCAATCTCACATAGGCCAGAATGCTTTATAAGTATTAACATTTGGGTACCTGGATGGGAAGTATTATCTCAGAGAATACAGTTAATAATGAGAACAAATGAGAGCTTTGAATTCCATAAAACTTTTGTACTTTTCTTCGGTCATTCAACTTACTTATTTGTAGATCTGTCTCATCACCTATGCAAATTCAAACATCATATCTAAAGAATTTTCACATTCTTTAACATATTTGCATAGCGTCTTACATATAATATTTACATGTTGTCTTAGGCCAAAAAAGGTTTCCTTTTAGCTGACTACAATATTTGCTCAGTTATATTAGTAAGCAGAGATAGGACACCTTCCTGGGTTCAGACTTAGAGATGAGATGAGACATGGTGGCCAGCAGATGGACACATGCTAGACCCTGGGGCCTTAGAGAACAGGCCACATCTTACAACAGACAGGGCAAGCATCTGACAAGTATTTATCAAACGTCTATTTTGTTCTCGAGATAAAATGGTAAACAACACAGGCAGACAGACAATAAACAAGCAAGTAAAGAGATTAATCTTGTACAAACTGTTTCTATCCAATAATTTGTCTGTCATATTTAAAAATAACAGCAATGTTGATATAATTTACATTCTCCTTTGTGATCTCTCATTTAATGGCCCACAACTGTAAGATGCCAGCACAGAGAAAATCTCTTTTTTATTAATTCAACAAACATTGATTGTGTCTGGCATTGTTCTAAGCTCTGGGGATACATACAGAACAAGAGACATACTATCCCAGTTCTACTAAACTTGCAGTCTCATGCAGGACATAGGCAAGTCAACAGGCAAAGAGAATATAGTGTAGCAAGTATCATGTAGTGTAAAAAGAGATATGACTCAGATCTAGAGAAATGGCAAAAGAGCACCTAGGACAGAACGCTGATGAATAGAAATTTTCAAACATTGGCAAGAGAAAAGATGCTCACAATGAAGGCAGAGAAGAAGCCAGAAAATCAAGAAGAAAACCAGAAGAACTTATGTCACAGAAAGCTAAGGAAGAACATGACAAGGATAAAGACAAGGGTAACATTTTCAAATACTGCCTTATGGACGTAAGACAAGGATTATACATTGTTTGCCAAAATCTGTGACAAGTCCTTGGTGACCCTGCTAGCAGCAATTTCTGTTGAGAAGGGTGAGAACCAACAGGCAATGAGAAAAGATGACCATCCAAGGAAGCTGTCTGTGATGACATAAATTATTGAGTGGTTAAAAAAACAATGACTAAAACTAGTGTGATTTCACTATGTAAAGGTATGTGTGTGTGAAATGCCTGGAAAAATATTAACTGAAGTCTTAAGGATTGCTATTTCAAGATGGGAGAATTTCAAGTCCTGCCTCCATATAATTCTTTCTCAAATGACCATGTAGAAATAAAATTATTTTTTGTAAGATATAAAATGTTCATAAGATAATGCTAAGTGAAAAAATCAGGGTACATTGCATACACAGTATAATCTCATTTATTTAAAAAGGTTCCTGTGTACATGTATATGTATATATGCTACATACCAAAATATAAACAGTGGTTCTCAACATGGTGGGATTATGGGTGATGATATACTTTTCTTTTAAAATGAGCATGTATGACTTTTATAGCCAGGAAAAAGCAATACAAAATTGTTACAGAATGTTTAGCTGTGAAGGTGAGAGGGAGAGGAGAGTAGCTGGGTAGAAGATGTGGGGTTAAAGAATTTGTTTTTTTAAAGATAGGAGCTATCCAAATATTAACCGAGTTAAATACTGCTGGATAGGAATTGGTAGAAAGGAAGAGACTGAAGAAATAGGAAAGAAGATCAAAAATAGCAAAATTGACCTAGAGAGATGGAAGGAAACAGTGTGCTGAAAAGATAGGAGAGATTCAACTTAAGATAAAGGATGCAGATAAGTTTGTATGTTTGATGACAACTGAATGAATTCTCATTTACAGAACCTCTTTTCCTTATGAAGAAGGAAGTGAAATCCTCTGCTGAGAGGAAGGAAAGGAATAATAATGGGGTAGAAGATTTGAGGAGGGTGGAGAAAAAATGGAATACACTGTGGATAATGAGAAACAGCTGACTAGGGAAACAAAACACTGTATTAAAGACCCACTTGAAAACAGAGACCATAAATGTTAAGAGACATCAACCAATCTGGGCACCGGGGCAATTTACCCTACAGTGTTCAGCAGCCTACGCTGGGATCAGAGTACACAGACGTATGGCTTGATGCAGGGCTGAGACTCTTCCAAGAGGGCATGACAGAAGAAACCATGAAAAAATATTTAGAAAAACCTATCAGTGAATATTTTTTTTCTTACAAAGCTAGGTGAATGAACCACAATGTATATCCTTTTTTGGTCACCTCCATGGACAAGCAATTATTATAGCAAATCTGTGTTATTTTATGCTATTCCCAAGGGTACAAGTCATGCCTATCCAAGTTCCTAAAAAACAAGCAAGCAATTATTCAATGAAATTAAAGTACTTCTTATATATCTTCTTTTTTCTTTAACTATCTCACCTGCTCCAGAGCATCTCCTTCAGTAAGATCAGCTTTTAAGTTTTTCCCAGAGATCAGTTCTTCCCAAGTAAACAGCAGTGAATCTGTTACTTCACCAAATGGATTAAAATCAATTAGCCACACCTTTCCCTATAGTATAGAGGGGGAAAAAAGGTAAAACTAAACACTTAAAAGTCTATAATCATTCTTATCAGAAAGATACTCTTTATATTATTTTCCCCAAAAGACAATCTTATAATTTATTTCCAAATGTGTTTCTTTCAGGTCCTTCTGAGAAAGGGCCGCCTGTGTACATAAAGTAGCCACAGATCTAAAGTGAAGGTTGCCTGTGAGTGCAGAGAAGAGGGATCTGGTAAGGAAAAGCCCTGAAGAAGAGATACACTGTAACTCCTTCCTCTAGTTATATTAAAATTATAAGTAAAAAAAAAAAGTCAAGAGAAAAAAAGGAAAAACTGACAAAAAAGTTCATCCAAAGTTCTACTCTGACCTATAGGGTGGCAATGAGTCAGAATTGCCTTGAAAGCAATGGACATAGCAAAAAAAAAAAGTAGCCTGATGGAACTAATTTCAAAACCAAACCCATTGTCGTCAAGTCAATTCTGACATAGCAACCCTACAGGACAGCAAAGAACTGCCCCATAGGGTTTCCAAGGCTCTAAATTTGTAAGGAGGCAGACTGCCTCATCTTTCTCCCACAGAATAGTTGGTGGGTTCAAACCACTGACCTTTTGGTTAGCAACCCAATGATTTAACCACTGCACCACCAGAGCTGCTCAACTGATTTTAAGAGTGTCTTCAAAATACTTTTACAAGGAAGCAGGCAGAGGCAGGAGGGGGAAGGCTAGCAGTTCTCAAGGAGCATCACTTCTTACTCCTGAAAGGCTACTTGAAGAGTAGATTTCTTTTTATTAATATACTAAAAAAAGTGATGGAAATCTCAGTTTTCATTTGAATTTTAACATAATATTTGTTTTGTGTGTATGGTATAGCTTGAGAGCATATGAAGCAGAGATTTAAAATATCTAAAAATAAAAACCTTTGAAAGACAATTTCCATCTTCTCCTATACTGAGAATAGAGGTGGGCAATCTATTGTTATATTCTAGCCTTGGGTCAGACTGGTCACAGATGGAGTCAGGTATGCTTATATATAAACTGGCATAGCACTGACAAAACAGAGTTGTGGACTCTGAAATCCTGCCAAGAAATTAAACCCAACACATTTGATCACAGAGATATAAATGACATTTAGTAGTTAAATTTTTTTTTTTAATTTTAATCTTTATTCCACTGATTTTTCTCAACGAACCATTCATACAGTTGTAATACTTTGTCATTACAATTAATTCTTTTTTTTTTTTTCTATAAATGTATAGTCAGGTCCTAACCAGATGTTTGTGTGTTAACACTTACAGATGCTTACGGTACTAGGCAGCATTACTAATATCTAGCATTGTTTCTCAATTGAGTTAAAATAAAATTTTAAGATGAAAAAGTCTTATTAGGACTTGTTTCAAATATCAGAAACCTCTAGAAAGTAGCAAAGAACCATTACAGGAGTTTTCACTTACACATCATTTAGGTAAGGTTCTTAATTTATACAATATCCAGGAGAAATCTTGCACATATTTCTTGTCACTTGAGTTGTTTCCTCACATCAATTCAGCACCCACTTCTATATTCTTTGACTATGTGAAATAGTATCAGTCATCAATCAATTTCTTGGTACAATGTCAGCTTTGTTTTCTGGGCTTTCACTAAGATATCTTTGATATACTGTATGTTATTTTAACAAAACGGATGTTTTCTAACCATCAAACCCTTTCTATTTGATTTTCTATAGCCAGTAAAACCATTTCATTATTAAAAGAAAATAAAAAGGAAGGAGGAACATCCCATTTGTTGTTATAGGAATATTGAGCTCTATAAACTAAAAATATGTCATACTACAAAAAACAAAAACAAAAAAACCCCACAAACCATCACTGTTAGGATGGACAGTTGGCAGAATTTCTTCTGTAGTTTAGAAGCCATCCTCTAGCTCAAAAAACAAAAACAAACACAAACTAGCTGTAATCAGGCATAAAACTATAAAGATCAGGCTTTCATAGCTGTAACTTATTTTTCACGTGACATCTCAGACACAAGACTTGCTAGGAAATTCTGCTTTTAGACAATCAATCAGTTAAAAAAAAAAAAAAAAAAGCCAGACTAATCTTCCTTCTACGTACCAACTGACCATCTGTCTATCTACCCAAACAAGTCTCTATATACCAGACACTGTGATAGGCATTCAGGTGTAACGAGCAATACAACATATATTCCTTCAAAGAGCTCAGTTTAGACCAGGACACACATAACAAGAAACAAAGAAAAACCATCTACAAATTACAAAAGGGTGATCAATGCTTCAACAAAGATAAGAACGGGGTGTTAACTGTAGTGGAATGTATGGAAAAGGATTTAACTAAATCTACAATGGTTAGCTTCTTAAAGTTAACTGGATTTTGAAGGATAATAGTTAGCCATGATGATCTGGGAAGGGGTGGATACTAGAAGATAGACTATTTCAGGGGAAAACAATGATTAAAAACTAGCATGTGTGAAGGTCATGAGATGATGGCTTATTCTAGGAATAGGTTATTTTTTATTAGAATGCAACATATACACAGATTCCAGAATTATGGTATGCAAAAGTTAAAGGAGCCCTGGTGACTCAGTGGTTAAGTGCTTGGCTGCTAACTGAAAGGTTAGTGGTTAGAACTCTCTAGATACTCTGCTTCCATAATGACTTACAGCCTTGGAAACCCTATGGGGCAGTTCTACTCTGTCCTAGAAGGTCATTATGAGTTGGAATTTGACTTAACAGCAGTGGGGCTTTCAGGTAATCTAAAGAGCTACCTGCAAATGGTCAAGTGCTGAGCTACTAACCAAAAGATTGGTAGTTCCAATCTCCCAAGAGATGCCTTGGAAGTAATGCCTGACCATCTGCCCCTGATAGATTACAGCCATGGAAGCCCTATGGAAGAGTTCTACTCTGTAAAACATGGGGTCACAATGAGTTGGAATTGACAAGTTTGTTTTTCCTTTTGGTTCTAAACAGGATGACATTTAGGTTAAAATAATCCCTTCAAATGTATAAATGAGATTACATGAAAGGAGAATACCCAGAAGACAGAAATAAAGAGGAACCTGAAAAACAGAGATAAGTAAACATACGCTGTAGGGACCCTTGGGAGGGTGTCTATCCCAGCAACCTGAGAGTATGGGGAGCTTTGGTAGCATACTGCCTAAGGCACTTGACTGCTAACCAGAAGGCTGGCAGTTCAAACCCACCAGCCACTCCTCGGAAGGAAGGTTGGGCAATCTACTTCCGTAGTGATACTGTCTCAGAAACCCAAGGAGGGGTCACTATGAGTCGGGTCTGACTTGACGGCATATAACAACAACGAGAGACTGCCCTTGAGGAAGGGAATGAGACCTAAGAAGTGAACCTCAGAGAGCTGCCACCTCACTAAACGGAGTATGAGAAAAAAACCTAGCACTTAGAAAAGGACACAATGAAGCATGCTTTATTCCGGGTTTTGGGAAACGTGGTAAAAGCAAATGAAAAACTTGAAATTTAAGATCTTCGGGATTCCCACAAATTTAAAAAAAAAAAAAAAATTCACTAAAGATGAACTCAGTAAAAGAAAGAAATTGAATGATTAATTTATAAAACCAAAAGGGAACAATCAACATGAATGACAGCAAATACAAAAAATGTGATTAATGACTCAAGAATTTGGCATCATCATCACCCACCTGAAGGGCAATATATATATGTATCAGCATTTGGGAGAAATCTATAAAAAGATAAAGTTGGATCCATATTGTACACCAGGAAAAATGCCAAAGACATCAATGATTTAAATGTAAAACAAGAAATCATAAAAGAACTAGAAAAAAACATAGATTTTTAAGATTATGACTCAAATTCAGAAGCCATAAAAATGATTAATATGTTTAATTTCTTATAAAGAACTAATAATAGTTAATAATAATAATAGATAATCACAAAGGTCTAATCTCTATAAAATATAATTGTTGTTAGCTGCCATCTAGTCAGGTCTCAACTTATAGTGGCCCTACATACAAGGGATTGTACCACTATAACTGACAAGTGTTACTGGCTGACTGTTCAGAAGACTAGGTCTTTCTTCCCACTCTATCTCAGTGTAGAAGCTTCACTGAAACCTGTGAACACACATCACCACAACATGCAAACTTCCAACGACAGAGTGCACTTGAAGTGCACTGACAGGGAAGTGAACCACGGTCTCCCGCATGGAAGATGAGAATTCTACTACTGTCCCTGTAATATGTAAAACCAAACCCAAACCAAACTCACTGCTGTCGAATCAGATCCTACCCATAGTAACCCCTCCTCTGGCTTCCGAGGTGGTATCACTACAGAAGTATCTACTTCTGCCCAACCTTTCTTCTGAGGAGTGGCTGGTGGGTTTGAAGCTCCAGCCTTCTGGTTAGCAATCAAGTGCCTTAGGCACTACACCACCAGAGCTCCTTATAAAATATAAGAGTGCCTTTATTTTGAGGAGTAAATAAACAAGACAATAGAAAAAAAAATGGAAAGGATGTAAAGCAAGAATTCATAGAAATGACCTTAAATATATGAAAAGAGGAATTTTAATCTCACTTATAATAAGAAAAATAGAAATTGAAATTATACTGAAACCTCATTTCTCATCAATCAGAGCAAAAACAAAATCCCCAAAAGTTTGACAGTGTACTGTTCTGTTAGCAAGCTTTGAGGAAGCATGCAGGTACTGCCATACATTCCTCATGGGATTAAGTCTGGTCTAACATCAAGGCAGTAATGTAATATTTGTCAAAATTAAAATATATTTTGCCTTTTGACTCAGTAATGCTAACTTCTGGGAATTTATCTTATAGTTATACCTGCACATATATGAAATGACATGAATATAGCATTATTTACCACTGGGTTTGTGTCAGAGATAACACACTGAGAAAATGAAACCATTCTGAACAAGCATGGGTCTAAGAACACAACCTAAAAGTAACACAAAAATTGGCAAAATTACAAAGTAGAAGATTTTAACATACCTTGTTCAGTAACTGACAGATTAAGCAGACAAAAAATTAGGAAATATATAGATTCTTTTCATGGTTTTGAAAGTTTAAAAAAACAAAACTTTATACAGAAGCTGAAAAGACACAAGGACCTTCTCCCCAGAGCCAACAGAGAAAAAATGCCTTCCTTTAGAGCTAATACCCTGAAATCAGAGGTCTAGCCTTTTAAACTGTGACAAAACATTTCTGTTCATCAAAGCTATACACCTGTGGTATTTCTGTTACATAACATAACCAAGAATCTAAGACACCCCAGATCTACTGAATTAGTTGGTCACCACTGATAAATACAAGATGGTCAGAATCTATTAACACTGAGCCAACTTACCCAACCATAACAAGAAAGCAGAAACATCCACATTTTGCCAAGTCCAAATACACTTCAGTTATATTTCATATAAAAGACCACCACTGAAGAAGAGTTAGCTTCTTATAGGACTAGACACAAAACTATATATTCAAGACAGTACCTAAACAACTTATACAAGTCTCATTGAGTAAATGTAAGTGAGTTTAAGATCATGGTTTAAATTTCTTCTTAGAAATTGTCTAAATGTTTATACTGGCATGTTTCTCACTTTAAAAAAATGTAACTAATTTCAGTTTGGTAAGATCACAGCAGTAATTATTCATATACATGCCCAATTTCACTTAAGACGCTCGTACAACTTTCATCAAATTATACTTCCTGGCCAGCTCTACTGAATTCTGGTAGACCTTGACATTTGGCAGGAATACACTGAGAGACATTGGCAAATTTCAAAATTTTCAAATGCCACTATAAAATATGCCTCAGTTTTAGTATCTGTGAAATGGGGGCAAACACATACTTCACAGTGTTATATGGATTAAATGAGATACTGAATTAAATGAGAATGAAGTTCTTCTGAGCTGCATGTTCAGGGCAATGGACTACGTTTCCTCGCTCACTGACTGACTTGATCCTACTTGCCACCAGACCATTCCCTGGAACATTTACATCTGTTGCCCCCACTTGAAGGTAAACTTGAAGACTGGAATATTACCTTGTTTGAAACTTCTTGTTAGAAGCATTTCATCTAACATATTACAGGCTCTCAATAAATTCTGGCTGCATGAATAGTATGATCTGACTAATGCATATCACTTAGAAACAAAACCAGGACAAGAACCTTGGGCTCTTGTTCAGGTTTCTAGCCATTCTATCATGCTGGCTTCTCATTTTTTTTCAGAGGTTTATTTCCAAAAATTTCAAATGTGGTCAAGTAACAAGCCTTCTTCTTTGATAAATCTAAATTTATAGCCTCCTTTTTCTAACTCAATAGATACTATCATCCTTGGAGACAGAGAGGTGAAAATACAGTAAGTAATATCTTTTGACTTAACAGAATTAGTAAACCAAACCCAATGCCATCAAGAACAGAGTAGAACTGCTGAATAGGGTTTCCAAGGCAGTAAATCTTTACAGAAGCCGACTGCCTCATCTTTCTTTCATGAAGTAGCTAATGGGCTCAAAATGCAACCCTTCTTAGTCAGCAGCCAAATGTTTTCACTACTATACCACCAGAACTCCTTGAGTTAGTTATTCTGGAATTTGGCCATATAGGCCTTATCATTTTGTCCACAAATCGATTAAAAAGTATTACATCATCACTAAAAAGAGGTTGATATGATCACAGGAATAAGAAAATTCTGTAGGTATATATGTAGCCTATTTGGAAAACATACCTGCCATCTTCTTCACAGCTAAGTCAATGAGTACTAATCACAGGACAACATTTAATAATCTAAATGTCTAAAAAGATGTATTAACAATGAAATCTACAGGATTTCTTCTTTAAACAAGGTTTTTGTTCTCATTTTCATTATAGACGTTTTAATCACTTTTAAAATGTAAAGAATAAATCTAAACTATTTTAATCCTCATCTTCAGTCTAAAAATAAAAGGGATTCAACTCATGCTAAGAATCTTTTAACTGACGAAAAATAATTATCTAAATATCAAATGACAAACTCCTGGCCATATTTTAGTGTGTAAACTTAACTATTTTCAGCAAACCTCTAACAAAAGTGTAAATTAATAATCCCTAAGCTTGTGACATGTAACTATTTAAAATACTATGTCTCCTTAAAACAAAACAAAAAACCTATTGCCATCTAGTTGACTCCAGCTCACAGCAACCTCATGTGTGAGAGAGGACATCTGCTCTGTAAGGTGTTCTTGGCTGTAATCTCTATGCACGCAGAGTGCCAGGCCTTCCTTCCACAGTACCACTGGGTGGGTTCAAACTGCCAACCTTTAGGTTAGTAGTGGAGCACAAACTGTTTATACCACCCAGGAACCTGTATGTCTCCTTAAGTTAGGTATATTTTAAAGGGAGTCTTGACCACTGTGAAACATTTACACATAAATTTCAAGTACCTTAGCTGGTCTTAGAAAATGTTTTGAGCAGTGGGATCTTTACATACTTAATGACACTCCACTTACTTATAAGATCAGCTCTGATTTTAATGCATATCAAATATGGATTTTACTTACCCTACTATCTCGATATATATCAAATACAACTGTAAAGGAGGAAAAAACTCCAAGTTAATAATAAAGGAATACAATCTAAACAGATAAACTACTATTTTCATAGTCTAAGTCTCTATTTAAAAATTAAAATGCATTCTATTATTACTCTATCAAACACTCCAAAAAATAACTGACCTTGAAGAGTTAATGCTTCTAAATCTCAAAACTTCAAACATAAAAAGGCAGCCTACAATGTTTTATTTATATGATCTTGCTTCCCTTTTCTACCTCCCAATCACAATCCTTTAAATTTAAACACTGAAACCAAGCACTAACATTATCTTAACCAATTTAAAAATTAGCTATATGGGAATGAAGGAAGCTGTCACTAAGGAATGCACCAGTGAAAGAAGCATCAATCACCTGTTTATTAATTTTTAAAAAAACCTTTTTATTGTGATTTGGGTGAAAGTTTACAGAACAAATCAGTTTTCCATTAGGAATCCACGTGTTTTTGTTTCCTGTAATTGGCTGCACTCCCCTCACTGTAACATCACTCCTCTCACTTCCTCCCTATGTTTTCTGGTTCTAGTCCTCCTTCTCTCCTAACCTTCCTGCCTTCTGAATTTTGTCCTTAGGCAGATGCTGCCCTTTTGATCTCAAATGGTTGAGGAGTTCTGAGGAGTATCTACCTTCTTAGAGTTATTGTTCACCTTGTAGTCTTATCTATTGTTTGCCTGAAAATTCAGCTACAAGAATGAGTTCAGTTCCAGGTCCAAAGGGTGATAAATCATTTTTATTGATGAGGAATGAAATTAATAAAATTTCTGGTAGGAAAACATAAAATCTAACTATGTTTGTAGCATGATTAATCCTTTTTTATCAAATATGCTCTAGAATCCAAGCTTGGCAATTAGAGAAAATGTACATCATGGCAGGTATAATTTTAAGACACATGAAGACTCCTTATATATACAATATACTTTCAATTCTTAAAAAGAAATCACAAATGTTTACCCTGTACCTTGTGCTATCTGATCATTCAAACAAAGAACTACTAAAAAGGAAGATGAGTTGGCTAATTTAATCACAGTAACTGAAGCACACTGCTCTCTCTAGATAGATCCTTTGAAATATATAATAAAACATCTCAAATAACAGGAGAGAAAACTGTCTCAGTATTAAAAATGACCTCTAATCAAATAAAGTAAAATTAATATGCAAACCATCTGCAATACCAGATATTAATATAGTAAAGTGTTTAAAATATAGTTATTCACCAGTGTTAAACAAACTCCAGTAACATTATTATTTCACTGCATTTCCCTGGATCAATAAAAAATACTCACAGTCTTCATCTAAGAACTTATACTGTATGTAATTCTTGAAAAAGTCTTGAATGCATCTGCAAATTTCTTCCTTTTGTTTAGAAATGTGATCATAATATTGTGTGTAGTCCCTTTGAGAAATACCTGACAAGAAAATATTTTATACTGTTATTAGACAATATTCTTTTCAAAAACACCAAAATGTGTTTAAACTTTTTTTGAGAAAATAATGAAAAGTAGATCAGAACACCTATCAGAAGAATACAGCATTATAAATTATTCATGATTTTACACAGATATGAAATTTATCAGTTGTATATAGCAATTCATGTGAATGAGTGACTACTAAAGTTCCATACTGCCATTTATTCTTACTTTGGAAATACTGATGATTTTTATTTAGTAGGTAGACTGAATTTTTTCAGGAATATCTAACAAAAGATAAAACTGAACATCCCCAATTACTTTTCAGTGGATTAATATGTATGCACATCATATTCAAGAAACTGTGACTTCCAGCCAGTATGGCAGCTTAGTCAGACACACCACACCATCCTCTACAACAAAGACCCAAGAAACTCAGTAAAACAAATTAAAGATTTTGGAACCCTGAGTATCAAATTTAAGGATGAAGAACTAGATCAAACACTGACCAGAAGAAGAAACTGACTGAGAACAGCAAAGAAGAAGAGATGGAGAGGAGGGACCCTGCCAGCCAGCCTAGCACAGTATGACCATCTTGAGACAATGAACAGTAAACCAGGGTAAGAAAAGAAGGTAACTTCATGAAATTCTCAACAAAATGGAGAGTAACTATGTAGACATACATGGAATGAAGTAAGGTCCCAACTACTGGCTGCAGCTAAAGGGAAGACCATAGGCACCCTTGCCTGGTAACTGGAAGAACATACTCCCTGTTCCCCACCATCTGATAGTTAGCTGTACAAGTGGCACTCTCCCTCAGTCCCTAACACACACACACACCATCCCTGCAGGCCCATCTGCGAGGGACCAAGGTACCACATTACAACAGAATTAACTGAAATTATGATACTTTATAGAATCATCAATACTATGAAGAACTGTACTCTAACAAATTTGAAAATCTAGAAGAAACGAAAAAATTTCTAGAACCACACCACCTACCAACCTAAACTAACAGAGGCTGAGGTAGAAAAATTTGAACAGATCCATAACAAAAGAAGAAATTGAAGAGGTCGTTAAAAAAAAAAAAAAACTCATCCAAAAATAAAGCCCTGGACGAGATGGCTTCATTGGAGAATTCTACTAAATGGCCAGCCAGAGAAGATTTGATACCAATACTATTCAAACTATTCCAGAACACAGAAGAGGATGGAATACTACCCAACTCAGTCTATGAAGCTAGCATAACCCTGATATCAAAGCCTGGCAAAGTACCAGTCAAAAAGAAAATTAGACACAATGTCCCTTATGAAGGAGCTCTTGTGGCCCAGTGGTTAAAGCATTTGGCTGCTAACTAAAAGGTTGGTGATTTGAACCCATCAGCTGTCCACAGGATAAAGATGAGGCAGTACGCCTCTATAAAGATTTACAGCTTTGGAAACCCTATGTGGCAGTTCTACTCTGTCCTACTGGGTCACTATGACTTGGAACTGACTCAGTGGCAGTGGGTTTGGTTTTTTAGGTTTGTATCCCTCATGAATATAGATGTAAAAATTCTAGCCAATAGAATCCAACACCATTATCCAAAAATTAATGCATCGTAACCAAGTCTGATTCATACTAGATATGCAAGGATGAGTAAACATTAGAAAATCAATTACCATAATCTAAGACACAAAGAAAACAAAGGAAAAGAACTCCATGATCATATCAATCGATGCAGAAAAGACACTTGTAAAATCTAACACCATTTCTGATAAAAACTCTCAGCAAAATAAAATAGAAACAAAATCCTAGCCAATAGACTACAACAACATATCAAGAAAATCATTCATCATGACCAAGTGGGGTTCATACCAGGTATGCAGGGATGGTTCAACATTAGAAAAACAA